TTGGTACACTCTGTTGGGAAGGGTAAGCGTGTTATGGGAGAGATATTTACCTAATTTAGAACGTGATCCCTAGTAGAGTTGCTTTTCCAGCATGAGATATTATTAAGATATGAGCTGTTGAATCTAAATATAGACTATTAGCATAAAGAGGATGCTAACATTATTAACTGGGATATGACACCCGATTCGTCGACTCCAAGTCGTAAGGAAAACACGAGCAACTTGGCATGTCATAACTAAGCTTTTAAGACATGTCAAATGCGAAGTGTTGGGGACACTGTTTAAATATAAGATAAAATGATTTCTAATTTGAATATGCATAGATAAATTTAAAGAATTTTTTTTATTTCTATTTGGCTGCTCTGAATGAATTCAGACAAGAAATATACTTTAAATAGCAGCTTTATTTAGGCAATAGAGACGGATGTTAGGGAACAGAAAATTTGAGTAACGATGAAATTTTAAGGAAAATGCAGACAATAAATGACGTTCATGTTTAGAATCAGACGATTGAAATTTCTACGACCCATGAGAAAAGAGGGCTTTTAGAAATTGACAGACACAGGACATGCTGAAGACAAGAGGAACACAAAGAAACACAAAGAAACAGGGACTAACCTCGCTAATTAGCTTGTGCTAAATGATAGCAGACCAAAGAATGGGACGTATGGGGGAAAACAACAAACTTACTAAGAGCTACAAATGATTGGACGTTGATCGAGCACAGTACATAGAAGATCATTGTTGTTAATCTTCTGACTTCATTTCATGAATTCATCTGCTAACAGAGGCAGCTTGAAAGAAGACTTTCTAGAGTTAAAGAAATATTTCTGCCATTTAAGATGGAGACAAAAGTTCGACGTGAAGCAAAGAAGACGAGAAAAGGCGAGATTTGAAGATCAGCAATGTCAATATAAAGGAAAAGCAAAGGACAATAAAAGTGCAATGCAGTATTCGCGAACTAGTGAATAATTGAAAAATAGGCAAAGACAATGCGAATGCAGTGTTTCGTTATTGCGTGTTCAATTACATTAACTCGATTCCTGTAAGCTAAAGTCATACAATAAATACTGAATTAGAACTGAGATATTTTTTTTACTCCCAAACCTAAAACAGGAGACGGGTGATGTGGCGGTGGGATCGGAAACAGATAAAACAAGTCAAGTAAATAGTAGATAGATCTTTTTCATGTCTCAGACAGCGATTCCAGAAGAGAATGTTCGTGTTCAGTTAAATAATTGGTTCGTATCACGCTGAGAGTTTAGTTTTATTTATAAAACTGTGTGAGAAATGAATTTTATATCATAGTTTTGGTTTTATGCTGTACTAATAAAAAGAGTAGTAAATACTAATTTGGTATCTTATGTTTAAATCGTCTGTTAAATGAAGAGTAATTATACACTTCTCCAGAGTTGGTATTGTTGAGTAAATAAAAAAAAAAGTTGCTAAAATTCTCTCTTCAGAAGATTTTTTTTTTACTTGGAAAGACGGGAATGCGTTGGAATATTTTTCATTCGGATTTTCCTTTATAACATCATCAGATCTAGACGTTCATATGGATGCCATGCTGTTCAGAAATATCTAAACTATAAGCTCTCCACAAACACCTTTTAAAACCATTCAATGCAAATGGCGTCGAACAAATGGCGTAAGTGAGGACAATCCTTATTCAAATCTCTTGAAATGGACGCCAAAAAATCACAAACAAAAAAATAATAACAAAAAGCCTCTCTGTGTCTTTTCTATAAATACTTTCATGGTAATTGTTCGAATAAGCTTTTAGCTCTGCTATCTAGACTTTTAAAATTTGAGTCCATTACTAGACTGGCATCGAGATCTCATCAACTTTCAGTTGAGCGGGCTAGTTGTAGACGTAAGTTTTATGGTAACAGTTTCTTTTCTCGCACTTCTTGCTTGTGGAACTTTTTTCCGGCTCTATCCTTCGCAGCCAATTTTAATCTGCGAAAAGCAATGTCCATCGCTATCTACGTTCCTCCTGATTACTCTTTTCTCTTATCGCTCACTATCAGTGTTTCTGTTCCTAATTCTCTCACACATTGTAACATTTTGTGTCTTAGTGGCTTTGCTATCTTGCATGCGGTGACACCGATTAAAAAAAATAAAAACAGAAAATTGAGGTCTTTCAACAACGACAACAACTAAAAATCGATAGCATGTTTAGCTCAAAGAGAAAATAATGGCATTATCAAAAGGTTGGTGTTGCACACTACTTCAAACAAAACGATAGGAAGGAAATCTCTCTCACAACTTGAGTAACGAAAAGAGCAATAAAAAGTTATTGGACATGAGAAACCTATTTTTCTGATTTGTTTTAACAGAAAAGTTTCAAAATTTCGACTGCAACTAGCAGTGACTGCTCAGTCAATGAAGACCGAATGTTTCCCTAAAGGAAATGAGTTAATATTGATTTACCATGGTACTACACTCCGATCACTAATTTCCAGTGTGTGTGTAAAAGCGTAACAATGTTTGATCGGGTTAATAAATGCAAAATATTTCATTTCATTTTCTTATTACGTTTTTTCTATTCATTGTCTTCTTATAATTCTTTTCTTATTATGAGTAGTCCAATCTGTATTCTATGTCTTTGGAAAATCTTATTAAACTCTATTGAACTGCCTCTTCGGATCCCATGAGTATTCTTCGATCCCTTTTCTGCTTACAAATTGTCTATCAGTATCATCTTTATTTGTTGCAGAGACACTAATTACTTAATCCGTCGATCAATCTATTTAAATACATTTATTTCCTGTGTAGGAACTGTAAAGGCAATATTAGTCCTTTCTTTATAAGGAAACGTTCGCCATTTATTGACCAAGCAGCCATTACTACTCTAGCTATGCCTTTCTCACTCCCTGTTATTTATTCTACTCATCTTATGGCAATGGCATTATGGGAATGTGGCCGAGCGGTTAGAAAGTCACTTTCTGTACATGAGACCCGGGTTCGAATCTCACTATGGTCGAGTTGTCAGGAAGGGGACTACTAGTTACTGGCCAGGAGGAGGCAATCAGAGCGTGTGGCACCTTTGGAAAGTGCTTGAAAATATACCACGGGTTGACCTAAGCCTTTTCAGTGAAATTGGATAGACAGAAACCTTGAGGGCCATCGATGGCTGTGCTTGTATGAAGTCACAAGTCATAGTGACTGAGGGTTTCAGTGTACTGGCCTTGTTCGGTTTACTGATCTCCCTCAGAAACTCTAAGGTCCGCTCGGCATAGCTGCAGTATCAACCGCCGGTGGGCTCTGTTGAATAAACAGAAAATGCGTCTGATTAAATGGCTACAATGAGGATTAGCTAGCTGCCCTAGTAGACGGTATCCTCAAATACGAATGGTTAATAATTAAAATATGGCAATGGTGGTATTAGCAGTTTTCCTGTCAGGAAATAGACATGGAGCTATTGTAGTGATTTTTTAAGCACAGCTTAGATGTGGCACAAGGCCGAAAATATGGGGCACCCAGTGAGGATCGAACCTACTACTCAGTCGTAATTGATCTAGCAAGACAAGTTTTCTAACCATTACACCACGTCGAGGTGCCCAGTGGTTTTACAAGCGTAGCTAGGATGTGGCACAAAGCCGAAAGTAGGGGGCACCCAGTGAGGATCAAACTCACTACTCAGTCGTAATAGTTCTAGCGAGACAAGATTGCTAACCATTACACCATCTCGAGGTACCCACATGGAACTATTGTATGTTGAAATTTATTTTATTTTTCTGTTGAAACATTTTTTTCATGAAAATATTTTTTCCAAGTAATTATGTTTTTTTGTTTTTTTTTTTAGGTGGGGGGCGTTGCATTACGTGCTATCCATTATCGTTGCCGCGAATGTCGAAAATCCACAAATGATGTGGTTTCGAATATTTGGTAAAATTCTTTGCTTGTGATTCCGAAATCATTGTCGACTGAACTGTTTTAATCTTGATTCTTCTGTAATGTGAGAACTGGGTACTCTCTCGAAGACACATCCTCAAACAAGAAATATTCTATCAAATGAATCTTTTCTCAAACCTGCGGAACACGTGGGGGGCAGGGTCGGATTACGAACAAGGAAGCGCAAACCTGGAGAGCCTAGAAACCATCACGACTGGCCACCGACATCGATGGGCCGGGTACCCTGCCCTAATACCTGTCCGAACAAATACACTTCTCAGACCTTGCATCTGGCCATATTCCATGTGGCGCCCCAAGTCGTCTATTTAAGTATCAGCTCAAAGACACCTTGCTGAGGACAGAAATCGATCAATTGGGAGACGGATTCTGCAAAAAAAAAAAAAAAAAAAAAACTCATTTGAAGAAGGAGACTACTTGTCAGATCTCATCAACTTTCAGTTAAGCGGGCTAGTTGTAGACGTAAGTTCTATGCTAACAGTTTCTTTTCTCGCACTTCTCGCTTGTGGAACTCTCTTCCGGCTCTATCCTTCCCAGCCAATTTTAATCTGGAAAAAGTTAAATGCAATGTTCATCGCCATCTACTTTCCTCCTGATTACTCTTTTCTCTTCCCGATACAAGGTCTATCAAATTACACGAAAAAAAGCACAACGTTCGAAAATACCAGATGACAAACAGAAGAAAGAATAAAGAGACCAAAGAAAAACCTGAGCTCTCCATTCCCTGAACCCTTCCATGTGGTGGCTACGGATGTCTCTTCACATCCTACATAGGACTCATTTCACACAGAAGAAAATGACGATGGCGTCTCCAATACTCGACAACGAGTTCGGCCATCGACGATTCTGAAATGCTCTTTACATGGTATTCACAGCATCCTCCCCCAGAATCATATCAACTCTTGCCTCAAATCACCTCTTTATCTTTGAGGAAACTGTAGACCATTCTCTGCGCTTTAGGAGGATTTATAGTATATAGCAGTTCATCATATTGTTTCTAATAAAATTTTCCTATATCTTAATATTGCATTTTTTTTATCAATTCATCACAAGAAAAACAGATAATGCTAGTAAGATTCAACTGG